TTAGTGCTTGAGCTCAATCACAAATATGATATTATACAACAGTTAATAAGACAACAAGATGTTAATGTTGAGGTAGTTACATTTTAGACACATAGTGTCTACATAGTTCCAAACAAAGTCAAAACAGAACATTTGTGCATCTCAGAGCAACTTTGCCAGGTCTTTCCTGAATGAATCTGTTTTTGAACAAATCATTTGAGTCAATGATTCAATTATCCATTCATAGAGAGCGGTCTTGTTTGCTTAGTTTCTAAATGAATCAGACGTTTTGAACGAATTAATGATTCAATGCATCACTCATTAGAATAAGGACTTGCCGCCACCTACTGGCGGTTTTACTGTTATATTTGATTATCCATGACGAGACTAAAGTCCTTGCACATTGAGTCGAAATTTCAATCCTTTCCAATCAAAATGCATGCTACGGATGCGAAAACCAAAAAATTGAAAATCGATCCTGATCCAAATTTTTTTTATGACGGAGGAAAGTTTCGGAGGCAGTGTGTAAACGTGACTGGCACATCGTGAGGTTGTATTTATTTTTTAACGTGCGAACATTTCGAACGAGAACTCCGGACTCAGTGTGCAAAGACCTTAAATTAGCACAAAAAAACACATTAAACATATTTTTTAATTATCGTTACCTAATCCCCAAAATATCGAGATATCATTTTTGTCAATATCGCACAAACCTAGACACCACTACCACTCATATTTGAAGAAAATATGAAAGGGGCTCACCGTGGCAAAACTCTGCACTAAGTGGTTGCTAGGGTGTTCTGGGTGGTTGCTAGGACATTGCTATGTGGCTGTGAGGTATCATATAAACTCATATGACTCTGAAACTGTTTGAAATTCATGTCTAGTCGATGTCCTTTGAGGTAATTAATGTTTTATATGTAGCGGGTGAGATGGCGCTTCCCGCTAAGACGTCACGCACATTTTGCTGTCCAGGGTTTAATTGGGGCCCGTCTTAATCCTCTCGTGTCACCGAGCACCGTTTGCAGCACACTCCATTATAGATGGACGATTAATGTTGACATCATGAATACACTGGAGTGAATATTAATGAGACTGTATGAGAACATTTGACACTGTATGAAACTGTGTGAGAGTGTGGGAGTATATGAGAGTGTGTGAGTGTGTGTGAGACTGTATGAGTGTGTGTGTGCACGCGAGTGTATGAGACTGTATAAGAGTTTGTCAGTGTGCAAGACTGTATGAGAGTGTGCGAGTGTGTGAGAATATACGAGAGTGTATGAGAGTGTGCGAGACTGTATGAGAGTATGTGAGACTGTATGAGTGTGTGTGTGCGAGACTCTATGAGAGTGTGCGCAAATATACGAGTGTATGGGAGTGTGCGAGGGTGTGTGAGAATATATGAGAGTGTACAAGAGTATGTGAGACTGTATGAGTGTGTGCGCGCGCGAGTGTGTGAGAGTGTATGAGACTGTATAAGAGTTTGTGAGAGTGTACAAGAGTATGTGAGACTGTATGAGTGTGTGCGCGCGCGAGTGTGTGAGAGTGTATGAGACTGTATAAGAGTTTGTGAGAGTGTACAAGAGTATGTGAGACTGTATGAGTGTGTGCGCGCGCGAGTGTGTGAGAGTGTATGAGACTGTATAAGAGTTTGTGAGAGTGTACAAGAGTATGTGAGACTGTATGAGTGTGTGCGCGCGCGAGTGTGTGAGAGTGTATGAGACTGTATAAGAGTTTGTGAGAGTGTACAAGAGTATGTGAGACTGTATGAGTGTGTGCGCGCGCGAGTGTGTGAGAGTGTATGAGACTGTATAAGAGTTTGTGAGAGTGTACAAGAGTATGTGAGACTGTATGAGTGTGTGCGCGCGCGAGTGTGTGAGAGTGTATGAGACTGTATAAGAGTTTGTGAGAGTGTACAAGAGTATGTGAGACTGTATGAGTGTGTGCGCGCGCGAGTGTGTGAGAGTGTATGAGACTGTATAAGAGTTTGTGAGAGTGTATGAGAGTTTGCGAGAGTGTACGAGAGTATGTGAGACTGTATGAGAGCGTGTGTGTGAGTGTGAGTGTGTGCGAGAGTGTATGAGACTGTATAAGTGTTTGTGAGAGTGTATGAGAGTTTGCGAGAGTGTATGAGAGCGTGTGTGTGTGTGTGAGTGTGCGAGAGTGTATAAGAGTTTGTGAGAGTGTGCGAGTGTGCGCGACTGTATGAGATTATATGAGAGTGTGCGAGAATATACGAGAGTGTGCGAGAGTGTGCGCGAGTGTGCAAGACTGTAGCCAGTGTACATGAGATGTAAGATTTAAATTAAAAAAAAAATCATTTTTAATAAATATATATCTTTTTTTTTTAATTAAAATAATTTAATTAATTTATTAATTTATTTATTATATTTGTTTGTTTGTTGTAATGGAAATATCCCAATTACTGTTTACGCTTTATAATGTTTGACCAATAAAATATTGCAACAAAACTAAACGAAATGTCCAAGTGAACTGATCTGAAATCACATGCAAGATCTCATCTGCTCAGAGATAAGCGACAGCCAGGTGATGATGAGACAGAGAGCTGTGTGTTCTGGAGGTAGTTAAGCATTCTGTTGTTTTTCAATGTCAGCGTTTTACTTTTGAAATGAAATGGTAATTTGCACAATGAATGTCAAACACATCAAACTGTGTTCTGCACTATAAATGTCAGAAAGAGCAAAGTGTGTGAGGCGTGCTGATATTTCTGTGATGCCATCACTCGCTCTGTGTTTGTGTATTTCTATTTCCAGACGTGGGTTTGTTTGGCATTGTGTCCATCATGAGCTGTGATGATGAGCTTCATCTTTATGAGGTGCTCCAAACATGTTGAGTGTTCAATTAGAGCAGATTTGAGAAGCTCCACATGGGGGCGCTGTGACCTGCCCTCTCAGTGAAACACTAACACTAATGTCACACTTAAGGTAAGACAAATCACCTTGGACTGGGGAAAAAAATCATTGTTTCACATGTTCCTCACAAAACCAGTCCATGGAGGGCTCTACTCTTCTGCACGAGTGTGAGAACTAAACAGCCTCTACCCATCACAGCCAATCAGAACGATTACAATAGTTACACCGAGATGCTACAATCATAAGAGCATATAATGTACAGTAATACATGATCTACACACAATCCAGCCAGTAAAACCATCATCATTATCATCATCATCATCATCATCATCATCACGCTTTATAATGTTTGACCAATAAAATATTGCAACAAAACTAAACGAAATGTCCAAGTGAACTGATCTGAAATCACATGCAAGATCTCATCTGCTCAGAGATAAGCGACAGCCAGGTGATGATGAGACAGAGAGCTGTGTGTTCTGGAGGTAGTTAAGCATTCCGTTGTTTTTCAAAGTCAGCGTTTTACTTTTGAAATGAAATGGTAATTTGCACAATGAATGTCAAACACATCAAACTGTGTTCTGCACTATAAATGTCAGAAAGAGCAAAGTGTGTGAGGCGTGCTGATATTTCTGTGATGCCATCACTCGCTCTGTGTTTGTGTATTTCTATTTCCAGACGTGGGTTTGTTTGGCATTGTGTCCATCATGAGCTGTGATGATGAGCTTCATCTTTATGAGGTGCTCCAAACATGTTGAGGGTTCAATTAGAGCAGATTTGAGAAGCTCCACATGGGGGCGCTGTGACCTGCCCTCTCAGTGAAACACTAACACTAATGTCACACTTAAGGTAAGACAAATCACCTTGGACTGGGGAAAAAATCATTGTTTCACATGTTCCTCACAAAACCAGTCCATGGAGGGCTCTACTCTTCTGCACGAGTGTGAGAACTAAACAGCCTCTACCCATCACAGCCAATCAGAACGATTACAATAGTTACACCGAGATGCTACAATCATAAGAGCATATAATGTACAGTAATACATGATCTACACACAATCCAGCCAGTAAAACCATCATCATCATCATCATCATCATCATCATCATCATCTTCTTCTTCTTCTGTCATATGAGTGTCTCCCAGAAGGAAACTTTTGGAATTCTAAAGTTGACAGTTTTACAAATTAATGAATAAAACATTTTTATGTGAATCATATTCCACCATATTTTTTTTATTACAATCTTGACTCCATTAGTGTTAATAGTCAAATAAAAATAATAATAAGAGTTATAATAATAAATACTTGAAATAAAATAAACATTAACTGAAATAAAATTAAATATAAAAAACTTTATTTCAGCTGCAATTCCAATTTCACATTTATGTAAATGCATTATTTTTTTATGATTAACTGTTTTTTTTCCCAAAGCATTGTTAGATGCCAGTGTCATAACTGTGCGAAGATTTGATTTCAGAAACAGTGTCATACAGTAGCTATTAAACTATATTTTGTTATGGTTTTAAATCTGTATTTAACCTCAGCAATATCTCAAAGTAAAACGAGGTGCTAAAGTCTGGTTTTGTGGTGGCTGTGCTTTAAAATTAAATGATTATCATCTTAATTCAGGGGATGAAGTATTCTGAAAGTCTGACAGAAATCAGCGTTGAGTTCTAGCATACTGTAATGTTGACCCTGCCTGCTTTACATGTTTGAAAATGATTGACAATGGAAAACAGTAATTAGACAGAGTGACATTAACTGGCCAATATTTGGACGTTTTGAGGTTATCGGTCAATAACAAGAGTATGAAGCTATTTCCTTTTTAAATTATTTTCAGACTCTGAAGACTGGAGTAATGATGCTGAAAATTCAGCTTTGATCACAGAAATACATTACAGTTTAAGAGAGATTCACATAGAAAACAGCTGTCTGAAATTCTAATAAAATTTCAAAATTTTTACTGTATTTTTGATCAAATTATGTAATGCAGACTTGGTGAGCAGAAGAGACTTCTTTCAAAAGCATTGGAGAAAAATCAAGCGTTTGAATGCTAGTGTGTTTCACCGCTGTCACTGTTTAAGCATCAGCCTTTGCAAAGCCCAAACCTCTTCTCTTTCTCTCTGTCTCTCTGTCTCTCTGTCTCCAGCAAAGCGAGCTCAACTCCTTCCTGTGGACCATAAAGCGAGACCCTCCCTCGTACTTCTACGGCACCATTCACGTCCCGTACACGCGCGTCTGGGACTTCATCCCCGAGAACTCCAAGCAGGCCTTCCAGCAGAGCAGCATCGTGTGCTTCGAGCTGGACCTGACCGACCCGTACACCATCTCCGCTCTGACCAGCTGCCAGCTGCTGCCGCAGGGAGAGAACCTGCAGGACCTGCTGCCCAAAGATATCTACCGGCGGCTCAAGAGACACCTGGAGTACGTCAGGCTCATGCTGCCGTCCTGGATGACGCCAGAGCAGCGGGGCAAGGGCCTGTACGCAGACTACCTGTTCAACGCCATCGCCGGGAACTGGGAGCGCAAGCGGCCCGTGTGGGTGATGCTGATGGTCAACTCTCTGACCGAGGCCGACATCAAGACGCGCGGCGTTCCTGTGCTGGACCTGTACCTGGCGCAGGAGGCCCAGAGGATGAGGAAGAGGACGGGAGCCGTGGAGAAGGTGGAGGAGCAGTGCCATCCTCTGAACAGACTCAGCTTCTCTCAGGTGAGCGAGGGATTCATCAGTACAACACTGGCCATGCTGAGTCTGGAGATTACAACGTTTGGATTAATCAAGATTTTTGGGGGGTTTTAATGAAGTCTCTTCTGCTCAGCAAGGTGGCATTTATTTGATCTAAGATACAGTAAAAGAAGGTTACACTTGTTACAGTGTAATTATTACAATGTTAATTACAGTTTTCTCAGCTGCTTCCACACAAAGTCACACAGTTTCTGAAAGCTGACACTTAAAAAGCAGAAGCACACACCAAATCTACAAAACCATACACTAATCTCAGCCTTTAGTTTTTTCAGTTTCAGAAAACACTTTTTGCAAAACACAACACACACTTCTCCATGTAACACACACAAATCTAACAGGAATTAGAGTTTTCTTTTTTACATAGAGTTTATGTAACACATCTGAGTGTGTCTATGTAACACACACATAGATTTGTGTGTGTTGCATAGAGAAGTGTGTGTTGTGTTTTACAAAAAGTGTTTTCTGAAACTGAAAACCGAGTCAAAGGCTGGGAATTAGTGTATGGTTTTGTATGGTTTTGCAGATTTGGTGTGTGCTTCTGCTGTTTGCGTGACAGCTTTCAGAAACTGTGTGACTTTGTGTGGAAGCAGCTGAAAAAACTGTAATATTATGGCAAAGGTGTTTGCTTTTGAGATGTGTTTGTGATGTTTTGAATGCAGCGCTTCATTTTGCAAGAGATGTGAGGCGTTTTGTATTTTGTGTGCAATTCTTGGATTTGTGTGAAGTTTTGAAAATCTGTGCAAGCAGCTGAAAAAACCTGTAACTACATGTACTTACTATATGGTTAGAGTTAGAATTAGAGTTATTTGCATGTAATTATGCATACATTATTGTTATTACAATAGTAAGTACATGTAACGTGTAACAAGGACACCTTAAACAATTGTGAAATATTATTAGAATATAAAATAACTGTTCTCTATGTGAATCTCTGTTAAACTGTAATGTATTTCTGTGATGCGCAGCTGTATTTTCAGCATCATTCCTCCAGTCTTCAGTGTCACATGATCTTCAGAAATCAGTATAATATGCTGATCTGCTGCTCGAGAAACATTTCTGATTATTAATAATGTTATTACAATAGTAAGTACATGTAACGTGTAACAAGGACACCTTAAACAATTGTGAAATATTATTAGAATATAAAATAACTGTTCTCTATGTGAATCTCTGTTAAACTGTAATGTATTTCTGTGATGCGCAGCTGTATTTTCAGCATCATTCCTCCAGTCTTCAGTGTCACATGATCTTCAGAAATCAGTATAATATGCTGATCTGCTGCTCGAGAAACATTTCTGATTATTAATGTTGAAAACACTTGTACAATATTGTTATGAGTAAATAATATTATTTACAATTGAGCACCAATAATATCTGAGCAGCAAAGAATGGTTCATGTGACACAATAAATGACATTTTACAATATATTCACATAGAAAACAGCTATTTTAAATTTAATTGTTTAAACAATTTTACTGTTTTTTACTGCATTTTTGATCAAATAAATGCAGCCTTGGTGAGACTTCTCAAAACTTGAAAAACTTTTGACTGGTAGTGTAGCAGATATACAAACCGTGTGACCATCAACATGTGCTGTGCTTGCTTATTTACAACGGAGAGCACACTTTTATCACGTGTGGCTTTATTGTGACGCGTTTGGGGAGCTTGACACATGATGCATGCATGCATTTAAAAACATGTGATGCACTTTAAAAGCATCACAGCAGTCAAGGATGTCCATCTAGTGCTTTTTCATGAAGAAAGACACTTAAAAAGCAGTGCCTTTGAATGCAAAACCATGAGCTGAGCATCTGTCCTACCAGATTGTTGTTTATCAGGAAACTAGTGTTTGGGGATTTTAATGGCTGATGCTGAAATCTAGAGGATGACATAAGGCTGAAACTTTATTAATGACAGTAAATGAGATCAATAATGTACAGTAGCTTTCAAGGGTTTGTGTCAAAGTCTCCTCTGCCGTTGCATTAGTGCATTAGCTGCTTTTCTGTCGTCAGAGAATGAGTGTGGAGGAAAATCTCTAGCATGCAGGCCTGATTCTGCGTCAGCTGTACAAACGTTCTGCTTTCGGAGTGTCTTGTGTTATTAAAAGCCATTTGAGCGTAATGGATCTCGTCTGAATCTGACCCTTGTTGAAGTCAGACGAGTGTCACTCTATTAGTGCCCTGCAATTACCTTCAGAGTCCTTCAGAGCGCAAAAAAAGCTCTTTATACAATACCGACGGATTCAAAGCAGCGTCACTGTAATAAATGGGAAAATAATGATGCGAAATGTGTCAATATTTTCAATATCAGTAGTACAGCAGCTCTACAGAAGACAACAGAGTCATTATGGCAGTATAATGCAATAATACACAATGCCATGCAAACTTCATGATTTGTCATGTATTTCTCTAGTGCTTTATACAAAGCGGATTGTTTCAAGGCAGCTTTACGTTAATAAACACTGACTTGGTTAAAGTATTTAACAGAAAGAAAAAAAAATTGGCAAAAAATTGCAAAGAAATGCATCTAGTTTTACTATGCAAAAAAAACTAAAAAACATACATTAAATATAATCAGTTATTAATATTGGATTGATTCTCTATTGTTTCTGATTACAGCAGAATTTTGCACATCATTTCTTTGTATGACACAGTTTCATTGCGTTATTACCATTAGTTTTACACTCCAGCATCATCTGAAATCTGAATAATAAGTTTCCATTGATGTATGGTTTGTTAGGATCGGACAATATTTGAAAATCTGGAATCTGAGGGTGCAAAAAAATCTAAATAT